AGACCGGAAGGGAGCCGAGGGAAAACAGAAGGTGAGGGTGAGAACGCCTGCATCAGGCCCAAGGCTAGGCAGTCAAGGAGTCCTGATGAAAATGGGGAGGAAGCAGTGGAGTTGCAAACTGGGCTAGGAGCCTAAGAAGAGGCCTTTTAAGGGGCTAGCTCCTCTTCAGCCAGTTCCCAACTAACATCAGTTATTGCTCCTTTATTCTGTGTCTGTGTTAGAGACTATAATCGCAATCGTTGTTTCAACTCTGCAAAGTAGATCTCACACACACAGAAAGGCCAAGAATCATTGTAGCCTGATATAGCACAGTCAATATGTATCCAAGCTGGCATTCCAACCCCAAACTGTCATCAGAACCTGTGTTCTTTCCTGCCACTACTATGCCCCGCCCTAACAGGATGCCCCCTTCTAACCCAAAGCTAGGACTGGCAGAAACCACATCCAAAGCCATCCGCAGCTTGCATTCTAGGTCCTCTTTGGGTCTACTTTCTTGAACAATGCAGAACTAGCTTTGGTGTTTCTGAAGAGGTTGGGGGCAGGTTCCGAGGTGATAGAAGGGCAGGCATGGGTGCCTTGGTGTGGCCTTTCCCTTCAAACTAGACACCAAACGCAGGGGTAGCCAGGAGTCTACTCAGTGCCCTCATACCCTCAGGGCCTCCATGAAGCCACATGAGACAGTGAAAGACATCTCATCTCCTGCAGCCCTTGCAGGCAGAGGCCTCTCCCATGCTCACATGTTTCTGATGGGGGTAGAGTTGTAGTTCAGTGGTTAGAGCACTTGCTGCTCTTGCAGGGGACCAAAGTTTAATCCCCTGTACCCACATGGCACCTCACAACTACCTAGAACTCTAATTCAAGGGGATTCAATACTCCCTTCTGGCCACAGCTGGCACTGAATGCATGTGACACACACATATTTGAGCACTCAAAATAATGCATTATTTTATATTTGTTAAGTGTTTGCCTGCATGCATATCTATGCCCTTAACCACTGAGTCATCTCTCCAGTAACAATAAATTGTTTTTGTTTTTTTTGTGTGTTTTTTTTTGAGACAGGGTTTCTCTGTGTAGCTTTGGAGCCTGTCCTAGAACTTGCTCTGTGGACCAGGCTGGCCTTGAAATCACAGAGATCTGCTTGCCTCTGCCTCCTGCGTGCTGGGATTAAATGAATGTGCCATCACTACCCTGCTCCAATAAAATATTTTTATTTATAAAAATAATAAATCTGCCAGGCAGTGGTTGCACATGCCTTTAGTCCCAGCACTCGGGAGGCAGAGACAGGAAGATCTCTGTGAGTTCGAGACCAGCCTGGTCTATGAGAGCTAGTTCCAGGACAGCCTCCAAAGCCACAGAGAAACCCTGTCTAGAAAAACAAACAAAAAACAAAACAAAACAACAACAACAACAAAATCTTAGTTAGGCAGTATTGTCACACACCTTTAATCCCAGCATTTGGAAGGCAGAGACAGGCGGATCTCTGTGAGTTCGAGGCCAGCCTGGTCTACAGAGTGAGTTTCAAGATAGGCTCCAAAGCAATACAGAGAAACCCTGTCTTGAAAAACAAACAAAAAAATCAGCTATTGCCTGAAGAGAGGGCTCAGAGGTTAAGAGCACTGGCTGTTCTTCCAGAGGTCATGAGTTTAATTCCTGGTAACCACATGGTGGTTTACAACCGTCTATAATGGGATCTGGTGCCCTCTTCTGTCGTGCAGGCATACATAATAAATAAGTATTTTTTAAAAAGAAAAAGAAATCAGCTATCTTCATTATAGGACTGTCATTCAGATCTTCCATGTGAACTTTCTGGGCACACCAGATATTCCTTCATGTTTTCTCTATGTCTCCTTAAGTTTTCCTGCCCCCACAACTCAGATAATTTCCCGTGTTCCACAGTGCAAAAGCTTCAATCCAGAGCCTTTGGCCTCTCACACAGTTTGGACCTCCAATGTCCTTTTCTAACATTCATCACTCAGTGCTTCAACTCAGAACCTGTCCTCAGAACCTAATAATCTATGCAAGGGCTCTAAACCTACGACTTAAACTATTTCGAAGCACCTACTGTATGTTAGGCACAGTGAATTTACCCTTGAAACAATTCTCCAGGGCAGGTGTATACTTAACTTTACAGAAGGAACTGATGGAGGTGGAGAAAGATAATGACCTGTAGGGGTCTAATTCCATGTTCTCGGAAACTTTAGGGATGAGAGTTGGCACAAGAGACATAGGTCTTGCCCTCTTTGGAGGCCCCTGGAACTTGCTGAGTCACTTTGTCCCACCTGTCACTGCCAATCTTTGGGAAGAAGAAATGACACGGGAGGGCAGAGAAGAGTGAGCTGAAGGCAGAGGCAGAGTGGTAGGCAGGTTGGCCCATGGCTGAGGCCTCTGTCCCAAAACTGGGCAAAGAAACGGAAGCCACACCTTGCCCCAGTGTCCTGCAGCTGGAAGAGCTCCTGAGGGCCGGGAGAGCCTCCTGTAGCCGCGTAGACGAAGTCTGGCCCAACCTTTTCATAGGAGATGCGTGAGTGGCTGCTGACAGGGTTGTAGGAGTGGGTCAAGGAGAAATAATCCTGAACTCTTTATCAGAGGAGGTGGCAGAGAGGGAACAAGGAGAACTAGTTGCTTCTAGCCCGCCCCAGGCCAGCATTTTTCTCAGGACTCCTTAGCGCTAGGAGCGATTCAATGACCAGTTTCTAACAGCAGGGGGAGCTTGAGTGTTTTGGTTTTGTTTCTTGGGAAGGACTGAGGGAGTTCCTGGCTGGAAGATCCCTGGGGTCTTCAGGCACATCTTAGACAACTGGCCAGTCTGGGAGGCAATAACGTTTGGAATATGAAATGATGTAGACATGTAGATCATAGTTCTAGTTCCAGCTTACCTCTTGTGGACGCTGAGTGGGTGGAGAAGCCTGACCTACGATGAATCAGGAAAGGTGTCACTTCTAAATATTTGTAGATTAGTAGCAAGTATGATGTGGTGACCAAGTGACTCTAGACGATGTATGAGTAAGAGGACATGTGGCAAGAAGGGAGGGGCAGCTAGTTCTCAGGGCTGAAGCAATCTCTTCCTGCCTTTGGTGGGAGCAGACTACCTGAGACAGCCAAAGAGATCTAAACATAGTCCTGGCACCACCAACCCTACCAGGAGAAAGCTCTGGGGCTGGGACAGAGAGCTGCAGACCCAGCTCAGTATAGATGAATTCTAGCTCCCTTTCTACTCTTACAGCTTTAGCCTCCCCAGATCAGGTCAAACAAAGCTTCCTTCCTGACTCAGAGGTTCAGCCTATACCCAGGCCCCTGTCTGCTCTTCCCAGGGCCACGGCAAATAACCGCTTTGAGCTGTGGAAGTTGGGGATCACCCATGTGTTGAATGCCGCCCACGGGGGACTCTATTGTCAAGGAGGCCCTGACTTCTATGGCAGCAGTGTGAGCTACCTGGGGGTGCCAGCCCACGACCTACCTGATTTCAATATCAGCATCTACTTCTCCTCAGCAGCTGACTTCATCCACCGTGCCCTCAACACACCTGGGGGTAGGACTTGGGACTGAGTCCATTTTCCATTCTGTTCACTTTTTGGGAGCATATCCAATTTCCCCTTGATCCTCAGCATCCTCCCTGGTTTTTTGTTTTGTTTGTTTGTTTTGTTTTGTTTTGTTTGTGTGTGTGTGTGTGCATGTGTGTGTGAGTGTGTGTGTGTTGTGTTTTGTTTGTTTGTTCTCTTTTTGTTGTTTTTGTTTTAACAATCTTCTGCTCTATGCCTCAGCATCTTATCTATCTGCTTCACAGATGCAGAAAGTCAGCCAGGCAGTAGTGGCACATGCTTTTAATCCCAGCACTTGGGAGGCAGAGGCAAGTGGATCTCTGCAATTTGGAGGCCATCCTGATTTACAGAGTGAGTTCTAGGATAGCCAGGGCAACACAGAAAACCCTATCTCAAAAAACAAAAAACAAAAAAAAAAAACAAAAAACAAAAACAGATGGAGAAAGTGAGACCAAATTGCAAGGCCATAATGAATTACGAGCAGCCATGTAGCTGGAAGCCAGGTCTCACAAACATCAGAACAATTCTTACTCTGCAACAGGCAGCCCTGGGGAAGGACCACATGGTACCCAGAGATCTGCCCTAAAGTACCTCCAAATGAACAAAACAAAACACCCAGGATACAACAGGCCTTGAGAGGCCTTGAGGTCCTTACTGTATGTTCATCTTGGGAAAACAGCCATGCCCATTTTCTCTGTTACCCTGGGCAAGCCAGTGTCTTCTGGGTTTCTGTTTCCTCATTTTTTTGTGATGAGGGATTTGTCAAGGTTCATGTTGCTTTGTAATAGCCAACGCACTTTGACATTCTTTTTTTCTGCATCTGTTTATCCATCGCTTAGTCATTATTCATCCTGTGTCAGGGACAGAACTAAAATCTAGGAAGTCAGACTTAAGTAAGTCAAGGCCCCGACTCTTGTAGAACCTGCTGATCAAACAGTGACAAATCCTGATATGTTACTGATACTAGAGGGCAAATGTGCAGAGCTATGTAAACGCCCAATCCAGAGGACCACTGTGTTGGGGATTTCCCTCTACAGCAGTTTCCCTAGGTCATGCAAGGACTAATCGCTTGGTGATTCAAGTGATACCTTGAGTGGTGAGGAAAGCTGATGTGACTTGATGGATGAGCAAAGGCCAGTCAGACCAAGATTAGAGAAAAGGCCAGAGGCTGTGACAGCTCCAAGGCACTGAAAGTCTACCTGTGGTTTGCAAAGCTGAGGTTTGGAGTAGGTTCTGATTGAGGGGAGGTGCGTGGTCACTATCTCTAGTCCTCAGAGGCTTGTTTTTATTTTTATTTTTTTATTTTTTCGAGACCTCTGGGTTTTTTTGTTTGTTTTGTTTTGTTTGTTTTTTCTGTGTAGCCCTGGCTGTCCCTGAATAATCTCTGTAGAGCAGGCTAGCCTCGAACTCAGAGATCTGTCTGCCGCCTGCCTCTGCCTCCTGGGTACAGGGACTAAAGGCATGCACCACCACCTAGCCTCAAAGGCTTTTGTAAGTCATGTTGAGGGTTGGGACTGTAGTTCAAGACAGACATTAGTCTATGCATTTGAAATATCAGGAAACTGAGGCCCATAAAGGCTGAGGGACTTGCACAGGTTCCCATAATATACCCCAGACAGATTCGGGAATGGAATTTGGGTTTGGGCCCCATTCTTAGGGTTGGCTGGCTGGTGGGAAGGAGTCAATCACTTGAATGTCTTCTTCAGCTAAGGTGCTAGTGCACTGTGTGGTGGGTGTGAGCCGCTCTGCCACCCTGGTCTTGGCTTACCTCATGCTGCACCAGCAGCTATCCTTGCAGCAGGCAGTGATCACTGTGAAGGAGCGCCGATGGATATTCCCCAATCGTGGCTTCCTCCGCCAGCTCTGCCGGCTGGACCAGCAACTTCGGGGTGCAGGCCAGAGCTAAGGAGCCAGGTAAGGAAGGGCAAGGAGACAAAGCTGAATGTGGCTGGCAGTGAGAAATCAGCTGAGGGCCTGGACAATGGAGCCTGAGATGAAGCTGGTTGGCAGGGCTGTGTGTGGCTGAAAGTGAGGACTCACTCCCTTTCCCAAGCTGGTGGGTTCCCCTTACCCATCCAGTACCTGGCAAGCCATCCTCTCACCTGTATTCTTTTCCCCCACCCCTCAATTTTTTTTTAAAGATTTTATTTATTTATTATGCATACAACATTCTGCTTCCATGTATATCTGCACACCAGAAGAGGGCACCAGATCTCATAACGGATGATTGTGAGCCAGACAGCAGCAGAGCCAGCTGTCACACACTTCCTCTGAAATGCACTGGTGTTAGTAACCTGTGTAGGCAGCAAGCTCACTGCCTGCTCTTTCTCCTCTAGACAGGAATGGGAAACAAGGCAGAGCAGCAGATTTTGCATCATGTCCAACCACTCCACTTCCTTAGCCTGGAGTCTCAGACACCCTGGCCTCTGACCTCAGCATCTTGCCCATCAGACAGCTGGTCTGGGGGAAGTTGGTTGAGCAGGGCTGCACCATTGCCCAATTTGTGGAAATGACATCTACAAAGTTGTCTGTGTGTGTCATGAGAGCCTCCAGAGATTTGCAGCACACAGACTGTACAACTGTCCCGAGCAACTCCACAGCTGAGGCCCTGGGGTGAGATGGCTGTGCAAAGAGACCATCTCCCTCTGTTAGCCCTTGATGTCAAACCTACTCTCATCATTTCTCCTGGTACCTGTATCCACTTGATCTTGAAGCAGGCTAGGTAATAGCTCTAGCTCCTGTCCTGACATGTCGCAGCCAGCCTAGACCTTTGTTTATCTGTAACATGAAGGTTTTCTCTTCTCCAGAGCCAGTCCTTACTCTCAGCCACCAGGCTCTGCCAGTTTGCTACTCTGGCCCTGGCCCTGATGGCAGCCTTAGTACAGGTGGATGCACCGAAGAGGAAAAGGGCCCGGTGTGGGGCTCACCTACAAGCCTGCTGCTTCATCAACTTCCTCCAGCCTTCCGCACACCCTCTCAGCCGCTGTCTTCAGTCTCCACAGGTGGGAGTGCGCTGTCTGTCAGCTGAGGTCATGTGACAGCTTTCCCCAGGTTCCCTGATGGGGCTAGTGAGGATGACTCTCAATGATCTCCCCATCTCTCCTTGATGCTCAAGGAGAGCTCAGTGGCTGAGTCTTAGCTCCTGTGTGTGTGTGTGTGTGTGTGTGTGTGTGTGTGTGTGTGTGTGTGTGTGTGTGTGTTAGTATTATTATGGTATGGGTGTGTATGGCTAGAGCATCTGGATTAAAAGGAAAGGTTTTTAAAAATAATTATTTAACTTTATTTTATGTGCATTGGTGTGAAGGTGTCAGATCCACTGGAACTGGAGTTACAAATAGTTGTGAGCTGCCATGTGGGTGCTGGGAATTGAACCTGGGCCCTCTGGAAGAACAAACAGTGCTCTTAACCACTGAGCATCTCTCCAGCCCCCAAAGGAGTGGTTTTTAATGTCAAATCTAGTGAACCCTCACTAGGCATACCCCTTGGGCATCCCTGTCTTTGAGGGAGGGAGAGGGCAGTGAAGAGGAGAGCTGCTCCTAGATAAAACCCCTGACCACACACACCTGCTCTGTAATCCCCTTACACCTTTGTCTGTCTGTGATACCTCGACTGAATCTGCCAGATCTTACTTCTGAGCTAGTCACACCCAAATAGAGGCTTCTAGGACTATACACTGATGTTTGCCTGGCACCAGTATGCATGTGCCTTGAGTTATTTCATCTCTGTCCTCCGGCATACAGCCTTTTGACTCGTGACTTCTACCCTTGCTCTGACTAACCTTTGGAAGCCAAAGGAGTTTGGGGGAGGGAGGAGACTGTTTGTCTGTCTGTCTGTTTTGTGCATCGATGGGATGGAACTCAGGGCTTCAACCATACTAGCTAAGTGCGTTAGCACTGAGCAACACCTCTCAGCCCTGAAGGGAGGTGTGTTTTGTTTTGTTTTGTTTTGTTTTGTTTTATGTATATTTTGTTTTGTTTTTTAGAAAGGGTCTCACTCTGTAGTCCTGGCTGGCCTAGAACATTCTGCAGACCAGGCTGTCCTTGAACTCACAGAGCTCTTCTTGCCTCTGCCTCCTGACTGCTGGGATTAAAGGCATGTGCCACAACCACCCAGATCTAAAGGAAAATTTTAAGATTGTTTGCTTGATATTTTTTCTTTTCCCTGCCCAGCTAGCCAAATACACTCATGCTACACATCACAGACAAACCCTCAGAGCTTCCAGTATGCCTAATGTTAAGACTGAGGCCTGGGGCTGAGCCTGGTGTCCTGGGACCAAAGGACAAGTGGGGAGTGGCAAGGGGAGGCAGAAGGGAGAGGACTGCATGCTTTATAATTAAACTCAAATCAAAAAATAGAAACAGCATCAAGTGTGCAGAGACAGGCGGCTGGAAGCCGGCAGTACACACTGCCTGTCAGAGAAGACTACAGCCTGGGCAGGATCTCCTTACAGGTGGGTGAATGGCCCTAATTCAGGGGCCCCTGAGAATGCTGGGTAGTGGGCCACAGGCCCACACAGAGCATCTTTACCTATGCTGTGTGTTGGGCAAATGTGAGGATTAGGTTGGGATGGTTCAAACTGGTCAGAGGTGGAGGCACAGAACTCTGCCTTTCACCACTATGTGACTTTGGGCTACTGCTTTATCTCTGTGAGCTCGGTTTTCTCATCAGAAAAGTGGGGGTGTGGATACTGCCCTCAGCATGAGAGGACTGTGTGGAGTTATCGGGAAGAGGTGAGTACTGGGCTCTGTCTGTTTCCTTAAGCTATGAATATAATCAAGAAACATAGAGACCCAGGTGAAAACTCCACTGACTGTAGAGACCTATCCTCTGCAGGGTTCTGCTGAGTCCTAAAAGGAAGAGAAAGATTACAGCAATACAGTGATGACCCATTTACTGGGGAATCTCCCATGATGTAGGGACTCTAGGAGGTGCATATCATTTATGATGTCATGGGGGTCTCCCAGCAGCCCCTAGTAAAGATCTAGGCTCAGAGACTCTCATTCAGACCTGTCTCCCTCCAGGGATGCAGAGAAGCACACTGGGCAGAGACCACCACAAGCCCACCCTTGGCATCTGCCTGCCATGGTTCCTAAGGTCCCTTTCCCAGGCTCCTCAATATTCTCCTGTGAGAACTCCAGCCACACTTGGCCTGTGCTCCTCTGGGGAAGGGAGGAGGCATAAAGAGAGTTCAGCTGGGAAGGCCAGGAGGAACGTGACCTGGAGTCACAGCTAAAGAGGTAGACAGCAAACAGCTGCCCTGTCCCCAGGTGGTTGGGCAAGGCCTGAAGGCTGTGGTTCCTGGGAGAAAGAGGAAGACAGGCAACAGAGAGCAAGCTAGAGATGAGTGATTCT